AGCCCTGTCGCCCTCTCCCAGAGGGAGACTCCTCCACGGGAAGCCCAGGGAATCATGGTCTCCCCCCTCTCCCCCGCATGCCACGACGCCGATGCTACCCACGCAGAGCCCAACACAATGCCACGCGCATTGGCGTTCCACGAGGCGCTGGGTGGTGCACGTTGTTTGCGGTAGGAGCTCGGCGGCAGCCCAGCCGTGCGTCCGCACAGGCAGTCGTGCGTGGCGGCGACAAACACCCGTCAGCCGCGGCTGAATGAAACCCCCAACAGCCCGTGGCTTTGACTACTCCGATCCTTTGTTGTGTCCCAAACAGGCTCCTCTCATCTCCAGTGGAAGATGTCGCTGTGCCCACGCCCCTCACTTGTAGCTATCAGAAGAGCAAAGACTTTCTTCAGGAAATAATTGTTCTGGGTAATTAAATTGGATACTCTTCCCCCCCACTCCCCCAAAGTGCAGGTAAAGGCATCTCCCTATGGAAATGTGGTCACAACGTGAAAGAGGAACACAGCATTACGACAACTATTTTTACATGGAGGCGTGAAAAGTGTTTAGCTGCAAGCTGCTAACAGTTGGGGAAACACTGTATCTTTGTTTGGGGAAGGGGTGGGGGCCTTTATGGGTTCCAAATTGTCTGGCGTCTGGAGGCACCTCTTGCTACATGACCAGAAGGACGCTAAGCAAGCGCAGCCGTCTAAATGACATCTTTGCACATGCCTTTTCTGCCACTCTACAGATGAAGAAAAATAAAATTTCAGTGACAAGAAACACACACTCTGCCCTCCTTTTCTTTTTTTACCCCCTTGTACTTGTGGATTCTTCTGGGTGGTTTCTTTCTTTATCTGGACTTGCCATTAGCTCTGTTTATCACTTTTCGTGTTTGAAAAAAAATCCGTAACTCCCACTTAACTGTTATTTACACTGAGATAACCAAAACAAAATTGAATCAGAAGTGATTTGCAAATAGTTGAGCCAAGCCTTAGAGGGATTTTAAAGTGCCATCCAGATCCACTGAGAGCATATCGCTCAGATAATCTCAGATGCCTGGTTTGAAAGGGCCTGGGGAGGGGGGGGCTCCCAGGGAGAGGGTCCCCTGACTGCTCTAAAGGTAGCCACCTTTCCTGGTCTCTTTTTCTTCCTACCTTTTTCCCCCTTAAAGCATGAGTGCACATTCAAATGAGAAGCTTCAATTTTACATTTTTCCTGTGTCAAGTTTTAATGCCAAGCAAGACGTCCACCCTGGCTGTTGAATGCAGCTCAGAGCAGATCTGGATGCTGACTTTGCTGCTGAGGTCCCGGTTTATGTCATTGCCAAGATGCTAATCTAAGGACAAGTGACACTATCTGCAGTGACCGTCCCTGCTTGAAGAGGACCATTTAGTGTGGACGGGGGCAGTTCTGTCTCTCAGGATACTATAGTGGGGGCAGGGACTGGGGCGAAGACCCGGAAGGTAAACATAGGGTCCTTAGGGAACCCTAAAGATAGCCATTCTGGTTGGTGGGGAACTCAGGGTAGAGGGATCAGGATACTTGGGGAAGGGTCTGTTTGGGTTTGCTGACACTGGCCCAGCCTCCCAGAATTAGGGATATCAGAGGGCTGCAAAGGGGGGGGGGCGGGGGGGGGCGGTAGTTATCTCCCTGACTCTTCCGTAGCCTGAGGCAAGGATTTGGAGCAGTCCACTTCCGCAAGACTTGACTTCCTGCATGGAGTAGGGGGTGAATCTGTGGCTCCCAGTCCGGGGGTCTGGGAGAGGCTCAATGCGGGACCATGTTCAAGCCTCTAGGGGGCAGCACTCAATAAATAATGATCATTGTAGCACCGCCAAAGGTAATTCGGCTGGTGGTGGCGTCACTTGTCAGAGCGCAAAGTGCTGGTCTGATCAGGAAACATGCAGAGTGAGACCAGATCTCTCTCAAGTCCCTCTGCACAAAACCCCTCTGGCCCAGAGAAGGCTTGGAATTGCTTAAACCCAGGACTCCCAAGGACTCTTGGGAGTCCAAATCCCTCTCTCCCAAATCCCTCTCATACCCTATGGAAAATGCACCTTCAGGGAGATTCTCCAGAGTGGGGCTGGCCCAGATCTGCCAGGCTCGCGCTTGTCTGGACTGGAATCTCAGGGGTTTGGCTGCAATTGGTTCGGTTTCAACCAGAGGTGCAGTGCCAGGTGAGGAGCCAGGCAGGCACCTGTAGCTTCCAGTATTATGTGAGTTCATATCCCTGGCCTTAGGGAAGCCTGACAACTGACAGGCCAGAAACAATGGGCTGCTTGGCAGAAGCAGGGATCAGGCCATAAAGCAGCCAGCAAGTAAGGTGGAGAATCCTGGCAACATTATTACTCACCTGGGATGCTTTACGTCATGATCCTTAATTGTGAAATAATAATAGTTAATTCCATCCAACATTCCATTTCTTTGACAAGAAGGGTGTAGGGAGTGTACAACAGCTTTGTAAATGATACTAAGGGAAAGCAGTTCCTTAGTCACATCCTCCTGAGCACCTTTTGCAGAAGCATGTTTCAAGTTCCCAGCTAGAGAGTCACAAACCAGAGGGGCCATCAGATCACTTCACTCAAAAACCCAAACAGACTGCCATGGAGTCAGTGCTGCCTCATAGGACCTTTTGGGTTTCTGCCACTGTAATTGTTTACAGGAATAGAAAGCCCAGTCTTTCTCCCATGGAGCTGCTGCTGGGTTTGAACTGCCGACCACGTGGATTGCAGCCCAACCCATAACCACTACACCACCGAGATAGGGTGGAAAAGTTAGCTCCCTTGGCTCCATTAGAAGGAGGCCTGCTAACCACAAGGTGTGAAGTGCAAACTTTCAGCTTCTCCTGCAGAGAAAGATGAGACGTTTTGCTCCTGTAGAGATTTACAGCTTTGGAAAACCACAGGGACAGTTCACTTGTCTATGGGGTCACTCCATTGACTCAATGACGACGACTTTGGGTTTTTTTCTTATCTTTTCAGGGTGGGGATGCTCTACAATCCTGTGGATTGGATTTGTTAGGTCTGGATATCTGTATTTTCACACCTGTTTTAGGTGACTCTGATGCAAATGCCGAGCAGGCCAGCAGGTGGGAAGTCTGTTCTGAAGTGTTAGGCTTACACATAGCCTGTGATCGATACTCCTGTGTGGAGGGAGGGACACGGGGAAAAGTATTCCTTCCCCTTTCCTCTCCAGGCACTTTGCAGGGAGGGGCAGATGTTCAAACACGAAGGGCCAGAGTGGTGGGATTCCCAGACTGACCTGTGACCACAGCATCAAGAAACCTCACCTTGGGAGTTGTGACAAGTGGCACACGTGTGTGCAGCACGAGGGCTGGGGTTGATGGCACTAGAGCCAGCCATTGCATCACCATTGGCTCTGACGGGAGGTTCGTTCAGGTGTGATTTCCCATCTGTGTTCCTCGAGTTGCCCTTAGTAAAATGCTCAAGGATGCATGACCATGCAGGAGGTGTGCAAGGAAGTGCGACGTCGGAGCCTTACCTCCTGGGAATGCGTGCGCTGAAAACTCCAGAAGTTGCATGCTTCCACGGAGGCTCAGTCGATGCCACCTGTCACACAGTCCTTCTCCTTCTCTGAGCCCTACCGCCAACAAGCTCTGACCCTGAAAGGAGGCTTGGGGAGGCATAATTACATTTTAATCTGTGATTGACTCCACAGGCCCTGGTGAATGTTTAGCTGCACCTGTCTCTGAGGGGAAGCTTCATTTACAACATAATAGGTCATCCTTTTGTATTTCCTCTGCTGTTTGTAGCTGAATCCAGACTTCTGACCAATAGAATCTGTCCCCCACGATCACAAGCAAGTCACCTACCCTTTACACAAACATCTTATTGTCCCACACATTTGAATGCTACCTAAACCTGTCGCTTTTGAGTTGAATCCAACTCATAGTGACCCCACAGAACTGATTCCCACCACCCCCGCCGCCGTAGGGGTTCCAAAAATTCTAACCCAGTGGTTCTCTACTTTCCTCATGCCCAGACCCTTTCATACAGTCCCTCGTGTTGTGGTGCCCCCCCACACCATAAAATTATTTCCGTTGCTATTTCATCACTGCCATTTTGCTAGTTATGAATCAGGCGACCCCTGTGAAAGGGTTGTTCGATGCCCAAAGGGGTTGCGACCCATAGGTTGAGAACCGCTACTCTAACCTGTACAGAAGGGGCTGCCCAGCGTCTTCCTCTGCAGAGCAATCGGTGGGTTCGACCCTTCAGTTAATGGCCATGTGCTTAACCACTGTACCACCAGGCTCATCAAACATCCCCTGGAGTCTCTATTTAAATATGCCTACTGGAAGGGTCCCAGAATCCTTACAGATGTCCATGAACTATTGAAGCCTGTTCTCCTAAACTGGGCACAGGTCTCCTCCCAGTCTAGACACGGGCACTAGGTCTCCTAAGAAGAATGTGAGGAATGAGAAACGCCGCCGCCACCGCAGCATGAGACACCACACTGATTCAAGCCTCACTGGGATCCTCCGTCCTCAGGGCGATTCCAACTCAAGGCACCCCGTTCTGTGTCAGGGTAGAACTGTGCTGCTGGGTTTTTCA